GCCGCCCCCCCCCCCCCCCCCCCCAAAACACCCCCCCCCCCCCCCCGGACACACCAAGCCGACTTGTCAAGATGGCCCTCGACACATAGAAGCAGAGCCCTAAGCGTTGCATCATCCTTGGCCTCATGAAATTTGGCTCGGAGCCGGAATTCAGCGCACGCATAACCCAGCTTGCCGCGCTCAACGAGGCCCTGGACCTGTTCCAATCAAGAGGGTACAATGGAGTCGACACGGCCTGCGCGTACGTCCGCGGACACCAGGAAGCGTTCACCCGCGAGGCCGGGTGGAAAAAAAGAGGACTCGTGCTCGCGGCAAAGGTCAAGTCGCCGAGCAATCTCGGCGACAACTGTGCGGAAAAGATCCTGGCATCGGTAGAGACTAGTCTCGCAGAGCTGGGCACCGATTTTGTTGATGTGAGTGATTTGAGCATTTACAACCTCCAGCCTGGAAACTGCCCCGGCCCTTTGGGGAAAAGGGGGAAAGACAGAAGTACTTGAGTAATGGCGCAAATAATGACGCATAGTCGTAGATTCTACATCTGCGCTGCCCGGACAGCGGAACCCCCTTCCAAGACACCCTCCAGGCAATAGACAAGCTACTCAAGGCCGGCAGGTTCGGCCAGTTCGGCGTCGGCAACTTCACGGCCTTTTGAGCTGGCAGAAGTCGTCACGATGTGCAAATACAACGGCTGGGTACGCCCGACCATCTACCAGGGCATGTGCAACATCATCACGCGCAAGATCGACACGGAGGTCTTCGCGGCCTGCCGTAGATACGGGCTCGACATTGTTACGTACAACTCCGTCGGCGGGGGGTTCTTCTCCGGCAAGATCAAGCAGGGCGTCACTCCGGAAGACGGCCGCTTCTCCGACTTGACCAAGGCGGGCCCACGGTATCGCAAGCGGTACTACCGCGATGGTGTGTTCCAGGCACTGCGGCTTGTGGAGGGCGTCGCGGAGAAGCACGGCCTGGGTATGATTGAGACGGCTCTGCGGTGGCTACTGCACCATTCGGAACTTCGCGTCGTGAATGGCAATGACGGCGTCCTTGTTGGCGCTGCGAGCGTGGCACAGCTCAAGAGTAACCTGGACTGTCTTGAGAAAGGTCTCCTGCCAGAGGACGTCGTTGAAGCGGCGGAGCAGGCGTGGCAGATTGCCAAGGGCGACTCGGCGGACTATGACACGATTGACGCGCTCTTTGGGGCCGGGTTCAAAGTAATGAACCTAGGTGAGCCGTCGGCTGTCGATTTCATATCCTTCCAGTCGATGATGGTGGTGATGGTGCTCTTCTCAAAAAATGTTTCTCAGTCCGGGAGTTTTCTTCTTGTGTAATGAACGCGCGTCGTATTTCATGATATGTACAATGCTCCTACGTGTGTATTTGCCGAGTTCTACCACCTGTTAGATTATCATGATAGTAATACCGGTTTGAGCTTTGGATATCTCTCAGGAGAAAACGGCTCTCTGGGACACAAGGTTCAGGTTACCAGCGTAAAAAAAAAAAAAAAAAAAAAGTCACGTCGTGTCCCTCAAAACTCCAACATGCACGACAAACCCGTCCCTCTCCAACGCGCCCAACAACTCTCCCTTCACCCTCCAAACATTGAACTTGTCCATAAACGCACTCAACCACAATCTAAAAACTTCGTCATTCCTCAGCTGCTGTGCAATGACGCACAGGCACGCCGCCCCATCCCCGCCGTCGTCCACCTCCCTCCTCCTCAGGGCACATACATCCACGCACGTCTGTACAAACGGCTCTACCAGCGCATAATTGAACACACAGTCCGTCGCGAGCACAAGGTCGAACGACGCAGCAGGCGCTGCGAGTGACGGCGTCACCTCATCCTGCTCCCAGTCCAAAGGCCGAAAGAGCACATCCCCTGTCTGCAGAGGTTTGGCTTTGGATTTCGGCTTTCTGACGGGCATCGAATTCGCAGACAGGTTCTGCGCCACGAGTTTCTGCACATAGTCCTGGTCTGAAAGGACGTAGTGTGATATTCTCTGGGCCATGGCAAAGGCGTTGAGCGGTGAGATGCCACATCCTAGTTCGAGGACGGTGGATGACGACGTGAGGATGCCGCTCGTGAAGAGGGGGTTTGTCGGCGACGAGAGCCATTCGGCAAATAGAGGCGTGACTTTCCACAGCACTGTGCTTGTTAGTGTATTTGCCATGAGTGGGCACGACGCAATATCACGGAGAGGTGGCTGCGACTCAGGGAGACGTACCAGCGCCCGTTGTGCCCCGGGTCCTCGTGGATCCCAGCACCGTTGGGCTCTGATATATAGTCAAGTCTCTGTCGGCGAGAGTGATGTCGAGACTTGTGGCTTTGGGATCGATGAAGCCCAGGTTTTGGGAGGGTATGGCATTCGAGAATAAGAGGAATGTTTCTGGGTGGACGGGGGCTTGGGGTTAGCTGAAGCCTGGGAGGGGGACTGGAGACCAACCTTCGTCTGCGTCTTCGATTTCCTCCTCAAGGAAGGGGAGGAGGTCCTCGAAGGGCATCGTTGCATGTCCTAAGGTTGTCGCTGAGACATGTCGTCAGGTCAAGGTGTGGCTTGCGAGAATCATTCACGAGGTCAGGTTAACTCGTTCGGTCAAGTCAAGCGCCCCACCGCACCAGATTTGCTGATTGATAACAAGAGAAAGGCCCTTACAGTGAGGATGAAGCTGTGTCATGTTGGCAAAAAGATGCTCCGGAATTTGGCTATACTTTCACTTGACTGTGAGTGCACATTGAGACATGCCGATTCACACCCTTGGGTAATCGACAACACATATGGTCCTAGCGTTATTCATATCAAGACATGGCACTGTTGTTCATAATAATAAAAAGGAAATGATGCGTGGCATCTGACATCTTCTGTGCTTCCAATGCATCCATGCAATCGTGTACCCCGTGCTTTCCATACACCGTTTTGCTCCGACTCTCGCCAACTACACTAACCCGTCGTACAAGGACAAGGCTGACACAATTGTCTCATCGCGTTTGCTGCCCTCCTTGAATTCTTGCATATCCAGAGACCCGTTCTCGTCCTTGTCCATCATGCGGAAAATCTTGCGTACGCGCTTCTCTGGGGTATCTTCGTCTTCGGGCAGTTTGACCATGGAGCCGACCTGAGTGTTGTCAGAAAGGCATATTTACGCCAGCAGCGTGCATTGTCAACATTACCATCTTGTAGATTGCCTCTACGATTTGAAGCATCTCGTCGTAACTAATCTTGCCGTCGCCGTCTATGTCATATAGCTGGAATGCCCAATCCAGTTTGTCTTCCATCTTTCCTCGGCTGGTAACACTCAAGGCACAGATGAACTCTTTGAAGTCAATGCTCCCAGACTTATCGCTATCGAAAACGTTGAAGACGTAGTCGGCAAATGAGGTTGGGTCGCCGAATGGGAAGAATTGCCGGTAAATCTTCTGGAACTCCTCCTTGCTCAGCATGCCCGAGGGGCAGTCCTTGAGGAAGCCTGGGTCTGGTATTAGTGATGTGTCTCATTCTAGCCGGTCATGTCTCATGTTCGGCAGGTAGACGCGCCGATGGTTGTGCACAACGTGGCACGCAGCTGCGGTATCAAGGTTTAGGTGTCGCGGGGGAGGGGGAGGGGCAGTTCCGTCTGTACGCACCCTTGTACCACTGCTGAAGCTCCTTCTTGTCAAAGTGCGTCGATTTCTGAAGCTCGTTGAGCTGCTCCTGCGAGAGCTTCGACTGCCTGGAGGCCGGAGGACATGATTAGCTCGTGTGATGCGTCAAGGGCGTATTGAGTGGGCAACGTTGATGGGTGGATGTTTCGGCATAAAAAGGGCGCATCCCCATGGCAAATAGAAACAGACGATTGCCGGGAAGTAGCTGGAGATGGCTTACGATTTCCCCATAGTTCTCTAGATCTGCGTCGCGTGGTGTATATGTTATTTGTCGTCGCTATACAAGTGGCGGGGTCGAGGAGCGACTGGCGCCGATAACTGCTGGCGCAACAGCAGACGATGTATGCCGTTGTTCGGTCGGAGGAAGCGACTCTTGGTAAGATGCGTCGAGATTTGTAGGCGGGTAGACTTGGCCAGGGCGAGGGTACGTTCGGCGTGAGCGAGGGGGGGGGACAGCTGTCGGCTTGATCGGCGTGTTGGAATTCGGAAATCAGGCGGGGGAGGATGAACTGCAGCAGCGTTTGGGCGCGGTGAAGGAGGCCGAAGAGACGGTTGAGTGTGGGGTGCAGACGACGTCGTGTAGGGGATATGTGAGGACGCTCTTTGCATGCGAATAGACAGTTGAAGAAGCGTGGAAACTGATCAGCGATGTGTAGGGGTGCCGAGGGCAGAGGTGAGTAAATCTAGGCGAGGGCGTTGAGTACTAAGTAGGTATCAATCCATGTCGGAAAAGGGACTGGAAACATACAGCGAACGAGGGAGGGGGCAGGGGCCAAGCAGTGCTGGTAGCGAGTCGCACAGCGAACCAGTTCCAGATGCCCTCACGTGGTGGCAGCTCTGCGAGCCCGGCAGTTCGCCCACCACAGGTCGACTCGTGCACAAGTGTTGTCAACGTGCGTCTGTCTCGTTGCGTTTCGCATCCTGCACTTGGGTGTTTCAGCCTGTGAAACTCTCCAGTGATGATAGATCTCCATTTCTACGGAGTACCTGCCATGTCCGGCAAGCTAGCACAGCCTGCTTTGTACTACGGCGAATCAACCTGGTCGGTGAGAAGTGTACAAATCCAAGAGGCAGCCGATATGGCCCGTGGCCGAGCTCGATTTGACGACAAGGCCATAAGACTCCAAGCTGGAAGGAAGGCACGACTGCGCCAGGCTGCTCTTGCGTCGTCAACAGGCCGCCACGGAAGGCAGGAACCATAAGACGCACCATGGACGTTTGCCGTCATGCAGCCCGATGATGCCTATCAAGCCCGCGCCTGAGCTGCATCTGCGTCCATGTCTGCATCTACAGCTCCAACTTGGTCCACATGCAACCAGACACATCTACCACATCCACGCGTCACGACCCGGCTCTCTTGTCGCCAGCATGTTCCTGTCTGTCTGCCAGAAAGCAAAGAGCCGCCCAAGATTGCCGAACGCACGCCGATCCGGCCGCAGATATCAAACCCCAAGATGGCAAACCATCATTGGCTTCGATTCCCCAACTCATCTCCACCCTCAAATCTCTATCTGGCGATGCACATGTGCATCGAATTTTGCACAGCCCCCTCATCGCGCTCAACCCACCCTTCGCGAACATGGGCTCAGCCCAATCCGGTAGGTCCAGAGAACATGTCGCTGGCAAGGCTAAGAGCAGACAATACTAAACAAATCTTAGTATTGTCTACTCGTATTCTATTCTAGCAACAGCAAATACAAGGCATTAGTAGTTCATGCATGCCTTTAAAAGGCAGCGTGTAGCCCTAGTCTCGCTCAAGTCTTGATATGGATTATTACACCATGAACGACATCACGGCTCCAGCAAAACCAACTCCACATCTAAGCAAATGGCAGTTCCTTTGTCATCGACGACAAAACACATCCCGCAAACCTCCACCACGCCCCACATTTCCTCAACCACAAAGGATTCATAACGACGCCTACAAGCCACGGAATCGGCGGGAATTGCGCCCAGATCCCATCCGTAGACGTCTTGTCGTGGAAGATAATCACCAACGGCGCGAGTTTCGTCTACAACACCGTTTGGCACTTCCACAGCACCAAATATCAGGTCAAAGATGAAAAGGGGAAAAGAACTCACTCTATTCTCCGCTCGCCATATTCTTTCTCATCATAGCCCCCATCTTGCCTCCAAACCAAGCCACCCAATCACACTTGTCCTCGTACATGACCAGACCAACAAACAAATCAATCTCATTATGCAAATGAGTCTCTAAAGCAGGCATAAAACCATCCGTAATGTCCTGTAATCCTCCTCGCCGTCGTGCTGGCCCTCCAGCATCAGCGCCCATTGGTACGAAAATTTAGCAAAGTCGGCCTTGTCCCAGATCGTACCATCGGTAAACACATTGACGGCTTGGTTGTAGACTGCATTGGCGCTGCGGAGGATACAGTTGTGGAATTTGAATATGGATGCAGCTAGGTATATGAAGTCGGTGAGCCTCTTCCCCTTTTATGGCCCCGTGGTCAGTATTTACTTCGCCACACTTGCGATGAATGGCGGTATATCTCGTCTCCGCGACTTGGAGTGGATGAGTCTACATGATCCGTCGACCCAAGGTTTCACGTTGCTTCCCATTCCTGTCTATTTTGCAGTGGCAATACCTTGACGAGAAGTCAGTCAGTTAGAGTTCCGATAGTTCAGCTAAATAAGCTTATTTAAATGCTCGAAGCCTCCACGGCTGGCCGAATCCCAAGCCATATCAGCCGCAACAACACGCACTCGTCCACGCACTTCGGATCACTTTCAATGCCGAATCGGCCAATTTCGTTCATTCGACAACACAATTCGTTTCGCAGGCCAAAGACAGAATCCAGCCAGCCGGCCAAGCAAGCCGTCATGCTGGTCCTAGGGCTGAGTCTGTTAGGCATTCGAACACGGGAAACTTGCTCAACGGGGTTTGCTCCAATCATGTGATTGGACGACTCGTTCTTGGTTAAATACAACCCGTCCGTGGGTGTTGACGAAGAGTACGCACCGGCGCCGGTGAGCTCCGTCTACCGACATCAAAATTCCGGGCTGTGATGAATCAACAGTGACGATGGCCGAACAGCCACCAAGCATGCTCAGCAGGTTCATACGTAAGTATTCCATTCAGCCGAGCTAATGCAACAATTGATGTGCGCCATACACATGCCCAGTCAATCATCATGATACCTAACCCAGCCACCCACCAATTACTCCCAGCCAAGAGAAGGCCGAACGTAAAACGAACAAGTCCCGCTATATGTTGCATCTTCAGCGTGAACGCCGTGGCTCCTTTGCGCTGAACATCTATTATGATCCAAACAGAGACGAAAACACAGAACACTGATACTGCCGTAGCTCGTCTCAGTTATCCAACCACAGCCTTCATGCTCAAGCTCTCCAAGAAAGCGCCCAGATCCTCCTTCCTGACTTCCACGGCGCAATGCTCAAAGCTGTCAATACGCACCCGCGCGTTTGTCTCCGATACCACCTCCTGGAACGCACTGCCAAATTTGTTGAGGCCGTAGCCCTTGTCGGGTTCAGCGTCGTCGTCCTCCGAGTCTTCGTCCAGATCAGAGTCGGAAGCCTCAGACTCTGTTTCCAGTTCTTCATCATCGTCCTCCCCTTGACCGGCTGCGCGTCTTGCCGCGCGCTTCTCCTCCCTAATCTTCTCCTTTGCCAACCGTGCGGCTTCCTTCCTCTTGGCCTTGGCCTCCCTTTCCGCTCGCCGCTTTTTTGCTGCCTCGCGATTGAGGAATGTCGTGTCTGGCCCACCGCCTCCCCCCGTGCCAACTACAATGTAAACACTGCGCTTCTCGTTTAGACTAGCTACCACAAGTGGTGTTCCTCGTCCACCATGAGAAAGTTTTCCATGAGCTTCTCGCTCCTGCTCTGCGAGCGCTTCTCCTATCCACAAGGATAGCTTCGTTAGAGCAGCTGGATGTGTGAACAGGGCAACGTCTGGGCCGTCCTTCACAACGCACATCCGGAATGCCCGCAGGTGTTTGATCTGTTTCTTGTTAATGAGTGACGTTCCCGTTCGATATATAGCGCGGTGCAAGAATTGTGCTGTAGGAAGGCCTGCTTTGAGAGAGTCAATGCTGTTGGCCGTATGTCAGCGAATGTCAGGACCGTAAAGGGGGGTTGGCTGAGGGGAAATATACTCTTCCAATGCGTCGTAGGCTTCCCAGAACCGTCCAACCCATTCTTCCGCTTGCGCAGCAAATTCTATTTCGTCCTCCGCATCATGGGTAAGTTGACTAGTTGGCATGGCGACTTCCGACGTTTGCGCATGTTTACCGACTTCCAGCAGGGCACCAATGACAACGCCAACGTCTTGAGCGCTGAGCGTTGCTCTCCAGCCCCAGCTTCGTACAAATCCCCATCCGTCCTTGGCACCAGCCCGGTCCTTGTCATCAGTATCTACCGCCGGTACCATCTCGTCTAGGTTATATAGCGAGCCGTATTTTAGGAGTTTTGCCCGCAGCTCGCGCTTCAGCATCATGTCCATGTGCGTGTAGCTTTGTTTACATTGTGCCAAGCTCACACCCATCTTGGCCAGTAGTTTGTGGAGTCGTTTGATTCCCGTCTCGCTCCAGGTTTTGAGACGAGAAAATAGATATGGCGAATGTAGCATGCTATCGTACAGACTCCAATGTCGGATAAGAAGGAATCTAGGCTCAGGGGAAAGCCGGATACCAGTGTCTTCAGGATTTCTAGCTGTTGTTGGAATCACACCAACGTTCTCTGGCGCGACCCGACCGTTGGTAACTTCAGGGGGGTTCAGGCGTCTGACTTCGTCTCGGAGCAGTTGGCGTAATCTTGCTCCTCGAACACCCATCCAGCCCGACGGTCTGCTGCTGTCATTGGAGCGTATAGGCGCCGCGGTGCCAGCAGATGACCGGCCATAAAGCTCCATAGATGTAACCCCAACAATGGTCAGCCAGAGGAGATCATTGTCCTCTCTCCCCAACTCCGACGCCAGCGAGTACATCATTGATGAAATAGGTTCTGCAAACGACGAGCCCATCCGATAATAGTTGTGAAGAACAGCCTCTTTTTCCTGGCGCAGTCGCAACAGGCGTCTTCGTAAAGCTCGTGCGGATGGCGGTGGAGGCTCTTGTGCGGCGGAAGGCGGCTCAATGGCATCGCTCGATAGTCCGGCTTCGGGGTCGCGTACGGAAACAAGCCCTCTACGCGTAGGTCGACGCGGTGAATCAGCTATTGGACTCGACTATCTTGTGTTAGTTCATGGTCAAGGTGGCATGCTCAATTGTACCCTACAGAGTTGCTTCGTCGCCGTTGATGTGGTCTGTCCTCATCGTCACTCAACTCATCTTCATGGCCATCCGACCAGCTCTTCCTTTTCTGTCCGGCGCGTGGAAGTTCCAGATCCAAGCCATCGTCGTCCTCGTCATCGTCATCGTCGTCTGTGAGGCGTAGCGCCTCCTGGTCGTGATCGATATCTGGCATATCGACCAAGGCCAGATACGCGTCGCGTTCCTTTTCCATCGCTTCTTCGATATCACCATCATCAAATACCACAATTCCGCCTTTCCCAGATTTATATGCACGCCCAACTTGACCGCCGGATATACCAACCGGAGTACGTGACTGGTAAGAACTCTCCTCCTCAGAAGCAGCCTCTAGCGGAAAGCCACCAAAGACGTTGCCCAGATTCCATGGGCGGCGGGCATCAATGACCCAAACTTCCACCCCGCTGTACGGCGCCTCCTCGCCATCTTGCTCCAGACCAAGAAGCGGGCCTAGATCTACCATGCCTCCAACACCCAAGCATACCACTACACCTCCGCTGCCACCCTGGCTTTCCATCATAGGCATGACGAGCTCCTTTCCGGCTTTTTCGAGGTCGCTGTAGCCAGCAACGGGTTGAATCTTGTGCGGTATGTAGTCATGTTTGAGCAGATGGGTCAGGATGCGACAACCGCAGAGGGCATCCGGCTCGAGGGCTACGAGAATCAGGACTGGCGGTGACGTTGGGTGGCGAGTGGTTTGCAGGTGCGTGTAGAGCTTCGATATTAGCGACCGCGGCAGATACATGGCTGCAGAGTCTACACAGAGGTCGGAATCCGTGCGCTTGTGAAGGCATGAAGCATGGGAAGAGGTACCGGAGCTGCTGTAGCGATGAAAGTGTCAGTTGGGGTGGGTTGACGCGACCCGTATGGATGCGCGTTAAGTGCTGCTGCTTAACGGGTGCTGCAATGGCTTAATCGCTGTCAATATTGGGTCTAAAATGCGTATAAGAAGGTAAATTGCCGAGAAGAGGTCATGCCAGTCACTCAATTGCGCGTTTGGAGTGCAGGAATGAGGCTGTCGAGCACGCTGCACTGGCGCCAGTAGAAAATGGACTGCCAAGTTTGAGGAATATCGACACAATGAAAGTGTTTATGGAACTTGACGCGATGGAGGACGCCATGGACGCGCCTGCCACTTACAGCACGCGACTAGGCGTTAGTGGCGGGAAAGGCGGGGCCGACCCGGACGGCCAAGGATGTCGTTATGTGGGGCGAGGAGGTTTGGTGGCAGGAGACAGGAAGCGAGCAAGCCGGTAGGACCAAGAAACCGAGGCAAGGCAAGCGCGACCCAGGAGGGAAGCAACCAGTGACCAGACTTCCTCCGCCGCCGCCCTCTTAGTCACGACATGGAATCGCAAACCCATCCAACAACCACGTCTCAGCCACCGAGGTCTAATATACGAGGTAAGCAGCCTCTCAAGTCGTTAAAGCTTCGGTGCATCCGTTCTTACTTGGCGCCATGTTCCTGTTCAAGCCACTGCGCCCGCAGCCACGACTCTCCTTTGTCTAGTTTGCTCAGTGCATCTCTGCGGTTGCGGCTTTAGAGACTGAAGAAGCAGTGTGACCAAAGCAAATAATATGGATAAGTTTTGACGCTCAATTTTCGCATGATTTGAGAAGAGCTACGCAACTGACTCAACCTGAAGCTTGACGTCTTTAGGCCAGGCGGGAATGTGAAAGCACTGCAATTTGAGCACACACCGCGTGCAAGAATCATAGCAATAGCATTAGCAGACAGCGTATCGACCCAGAAACTGAAACGTTTTACAGCCTTTGATCCCGCTCATCACCCTACATAGACGATGGTTTATAGGACCAGGCCACCAACGCGGGATGGCCATTGGGCAGCTGATCAAAAGCATGCGGAAGCGCTTCGTAATTCCAGGTCTCTGTTTTCGCAACTCTAGCATTTTTAATCAAAGGGACATGCTGCCCATGTTGACACGGCATAGAGCAATAGTTCCCTGCAAAGCCGTTTGTCCCCAACTAAGACATTGATTCAGTCCCGCATTTAGAACACTGCTAGCCCACAAAGGCACGGCCCAGCCAAGCTCATCCGTTCAATACACTTGCCGCGAATGGCCCGCGGACCAGAAATAAGGAACGTGGCCGAGTGTTGTGATATTTTTTGGAAGACAAGAGCGCAGAGAGTAATGCGTGTTGCACAACGCCCAACACCAAGAATTGACATCAAGCTCGGCCGAGTGTACTTGGTAGGTCGATCAAAGAGACCTGTCGAATTCAGCTACCAGAAACGGTACCGCAGTGCGCCGTGTCATGTCCGCGTCTTATCGGCATCAACCGCGAGAACTCGTTTCGGTTCCACCTGTCAGTTTCAACAAGTGAGCAAGCAATCAACTCATGCACCAGATCACACAAGCTGCACGTCGTATGCAGTTGAAAAGTTGAAAAGTGACTGGCAAGCGGCCAACGAGCGCGATCGGCTGGCGTCGTCTGCTTGATGCATTGGCTCGTCCGATGCCATGTCGTCGCAATAGTCTATCATTGACGAATGCCCGGCACAATGATTCCCCATCTCGCCTCAGCCTGCTGTACATACAGTTGCACTGCGTGGCTGCATGTTGACTCGGCTCTCGGATGCTCATTCCTGTCTCCCCTGATCCACAGTCATCCCAGCTAGATGGAGACAACTTCAATTTGCTCAGCCATGTCTTACTGTGTAACTCGATTTTGGCACTATCCGTCGGCGACTAAGCGGCCGAGCCACTTAATATAGTTCCCAGACATGATAGTTATCTCTTTTTTTAGCATCCAGCACAACTATGCGCAAACCTCCAGGGTCTTGACAAGCCTGGATTGGATGTCGGGGTGCTTTTCAATGTTTCATTGCATACCCTCGTCTTTCAGGCCGTCTTCCGGAATTGGGTCTGGAACCCCTGTTCAGAATCAACTCTCACTTCCCTCTACAATTTCCATTCCCCACATTGTCCCAGATTGCTGGGACCAACATCATCCCATGCAATCTCTCAGGCCCTTCCTCCCCTTCTGGTTGTTGACGAGAGCCCACTTGACGCTGGCTGGAGTAGGCCCAGAGTCCTGCCTTCTCAAGTTTGTGCCATCAAGCTCGCAAATATCATAATAACCCCTTGCGGCCTCGCAGTCAGCCATTGTGGCTAATGCCTGACTCGTCAGAAGTGATTGTACTTTTGTTGAACTCTGGCTGGTGATGACACCACCGAGTTCCGTGAACAATAATTCTCTGACTCGTCTATTGGTTCGGCTAATATATATTCAGACATGAATCGCCCTCATTCCTTTGACGACATTACCTCTGACTATGACGAATCCTTTGGTGTTTCCGAGTTTACATCAATACACACTGCCCATCTCATATACTCATACGAACATGGAAGGTAAGGGAAATGTGTGGTTCATCTCATAACTGAATAAGACTGCTAACAATGACCAAAGACGATACCAAGGCTTGGTGCAGAACCGCTACGGTATGCCCAATGATGAGGCTGAACAGATGAGAGAGGGCATCAAGCACAAGCTCTACACAGATTACATCCTAGATGGGAAACAGTTTTTGGCACCTGTACCAGACAATCCCCAAAAAATTGTTGATTTAGGGACTGGTGCAGGGTATTGGGCATTGGACGGTATACGCCGCCACCAGACGCTTTTCTCCCACCCCATTGCGGACATTACCGTGCTAACAGTGCACCGCACAGTCGCAGAGAAGTTTCCGAGTGCTCGCGTCATCGGCACGGATCTTTCTCCAATTCAACCGCAATGGGCCCCCCCAAACACCGAGTTCCGCGTCGAGGATCTGGACGATGAGCACCGCCCCTGGTCCAGCATTTATACCGGGGCAGATGCCATTCATACCCGGGCTTTGCTACCAACGCTCAGAAACCCAAAGCTGGTCTTGCGAAGAGCATTTGAGTACGCCAAGTGGCCTGTTGCTCGCAATTTTCAAAATCGAGCCTTGCTAACATGGTCACAGAAATTTGAAGCCGGGCGGATGGGTTGAGTGCCACGAAATCGTCAGCAGCGTCTTTTCGGAAGACGGTGCCGTGAATCGCGGACACCCACTGCACAAGATGTATGACTTGATCAATGGGTCGTTTTCCGAAGTATACGGATGGAATCTCCATATCGCGGCGCAGATACCCGACGTGCTCCGCGAGATTGGCTTTGTCAGCATCACACAAAGACAGAACAAGATACCCTTGGGGCGGTGGCACCACGATGCCAGGATGCGATAAATGGGCATCTTCAACCAGATAATACACTCAGAGTGGTTGCCCAACATGCTCCTGAAGCATGAGGCGATGGGGATATCGGCGGACGAGGCTGAGAGCATTGGGCAGGAGATACTGGACGCGTTCAATGACCCCAATATCCGGTCGTACAACATTTGGGTAGACTGTTGGGCGCAGAAGCCCTCTGACAGGGTCGACGACAATTGACGACTATGCAAGGAGATGTGTTCATAAAGAGTCTGAAATACAACCTCGGCACACATGCACACACACATGTTTGAGGTTACAAGCATCGGGGCGTTGACTGTTCGACAGACTGATCGAGTCGACTTGAAGCATTGGAGGGCATGGCGAAACTGAATTGGAGCGGAGTCATGTAATGATGAACACCATAATGTTTTATTGCAACCGAGTTTCATTCACAAGTGGTCCCGTACATACACAATGGACAGCTGAGAAGTGATTTGGTGTACACCAAGACGGCTAGTTTTATCCTTCCCGTGCCGATGCAAGCATTGCACCCTTCGGACTCCAGCACATCAAAACAAGATTGCAACCCAACAACTCCACACTCCCATCTGATTAATGAGATTAATACATCTCCCCCGGCCCGGGTCCGCCCATCCTATTCATCCCGGGCCCGGGCCCAAACGGTCCAAAGTCATCAAAGCCCTGAAACCCATCCCCAAATGGCATACCCATCCCCGGCTGGAAGTTATTAACCAGATAACTCCAGTCCATATCTGACGCATCATGCGCCGGCGCGTCCCCAATACAGATGCTACTCGCGGCACTGCTTCCCAACGGCGGTCCCACGCTCGGCGGCGTCATGGTGACATGCGCATCCGGCGACGCGCCCTGGCCCGGGCGAGGCAAGTCGTACGGCTCCTGGTGTACTTGGGGCTCTGGTCGATTCTCCATCTTTGCCCTGCGTCGGACCTCGGCTCTTTCGCGGAGAACCGCGATGAATGCTGGCACGGGGGGCGACTCCTTGCCATTCGCCATGCATGCCTCGGCGTGCGCGTCCCACGCCTTGATAAAGTGTCGTCCAAAGGCGGTGTGCATCGGACTATGGAGGTTGTTCATCAGTCCGCGCAACGTGTGGTTCGCCGCGATGGCCCCCCAGGCGCGTTCGACCACGGGGCCGAAGCACCGCCGGCGAAGCTCCTGGATGAGGAACATGTACGCCGGGAAGGGGAAGTGGTGCGCTGTAAACCACTTGAACGGCTTGAGGGCGTCGGAGGAGTGGACGGAATTGTCGTACTCGACCATTTGCACAGACAGCAGGAACAGGTTGTCGCGCTCCATCTCGTTGAGGGGCTCGTCGGTGCCGTACATGCGCATGAGGTAGTTTATGACGCGCATCTTGGAGAGCGCCTGCCTCGTCATTGTGAGCGTGAAGAAGTGCAGGGGGATCTTGGGGTCGCAGTGCTGGAGGTACGTGCCCTCCATGTGGGCGCAGAAGCCCTCGAGGGTGTACGAGGGCGAATCCTGGCCCGCGATGCGGATCGTCGGCGCCGAGGAGGGCTGCTTGGGGCCTGCTGAAGGGGACGGGCTTGTTTTGTCCGGGTTGACTTTGGCGCTGTCGCGGTCCGAGTTGCTCACGACAGCCATGGCGAGCTCTAGCCGTGTCAGTGCGAAGAGCATCTCTGTTGGGCCGTTGTGCGGCGAGGGGAGCTCCTTGCCGTCGGCGTGGAGGTCCGAGTCGTTTACGTTGAGGGGGAGCTTGCAGTCGCCGCCGCTGGAGAGGCCGGTGATCGTCGAGCCCGTCATCTCGCCTATGCGGCGGTCGTAGCTGACAATGGTCCACCACAGGCGGCGGCGCTGCTCGACTTCGAAGGGCGGGAGACCGTAGCCGGCTGGGTCGCGGTGAAGGCCCATTCTTTGGGCTATGCGGACGGCTATGCCAATGAGACAGAAGACTTGGCGAGGGTCAACAAACCATCGGACGGCAAACTGCACCCGTCAGTATTCCGAGTCTGCTGAGTAGGCGACATGTTGCCTGGGAACAGTTGCGGAAAGAAAAATTCCGGGCCAGGCTGGAACGTACCAGGTATAACACATATGCCTGGAGGGAAAGAAAGTCATTGTATCTCATGAGCCCGGCGTTCAGCAATGCCTGCTGCAGGCCTTCGAAGAACTGCGCCAGCACTTCCTTCTTGGGACGGTTCAGCATCTTCTCTACATCCGCGTCGTCCAGTGAGGTGATGGCCATGCAGTAGATGCCAAACATGAGAGCCTCGAGGTTTTTCGGGGCGCTCTCCAGGTTGGAAGATGCCTGGATGATTTGGCTCTGGACGCTGGGGACGTGTGTGACTTTGAGAAGCGGGTTGACATTATCAATATAGAGCTGCCACAGCTGGAAGATGTGAATGGTAGAGGGGTGGTAGTGTGTGGTGGACTGCTGGCGGCCAGAAAAGACAAAGGGAAAGCCGTCATTGTTGGAGAACATTTTGTCAAAGGCACGGTGGATGGTGGATTCGTCGGCTTCATCGTCGGAGGAGTCGTGGAGGAGTTGTTCACTCGCCCGAAACTTTGGCTGTTAGTCTGTCGTCTTTCTCAGTGATGCTCGGGGACATGCTCTTTACTTCTCTGTGAAGGGAGAATATCGACCGCCCGGGCCTATCCACCGTCTGGTTAGCACATGTCCTCATATACGCGTGTGCCAAGACAGGACATGTCACGAACTTGTCAATGTGTGAAGTCGCAGAAGGTGACGAGCTCGCCGCGGGACTCGTCTTCAACCCCTCAAAGTCATTCTCCAGATCCTCCAGGTCCTCGGGATGCGGACCATCGGCCCTGATGCTGTGCCCAATGGCATCAAACTTGACGCCGTGCTCTGCCAGCAAGGCCTCGTATTTCTTCAGTCTTTCCACCAGATCTTTCTCGTGCAGCCGCTTCTTCCGGCGCCTTGGCGGCTGCGGAGGAACCACCCTGCACTCCACACCGGCCTTGAGACAGTTCGCACACGGCTTGTTCTTGTCGCAGCGTACTTTGCGCTGCTGACAGAGCACACAGCTCGTCCCTCTAGTGAGTTTGGCGATTGACGGATCCGCGTGCTGCTGGAGATGCTGTGATTCCTGCTGTCCCTCGGGTGCCAGGTCAGGGCCAGCAGACCCGGACCCGGATCCGGTCCGCTCAAACGACATGGTGTGGACTTTATGCATTGTCCCGGACTCCGAAGATCTGGGCGGCAACGGAAGCCGCGTGATGGGAGAAGCGCGTGGTGGTAAGCCGTTGAGCCAAGCAATAAGGCTGAACCAGGTCTACAGCAAGCACGGGGTAGTGGAGCCGACAAACACCACCTTGCGGCCTTGATCAAGAAAACGGCTAATAAGGGTAAACGAATGGCTAGCCAAAGAATGCGACAATGGCAGCAGGACAGAGTCGTAGGGCTGAGATCGGGTTGTTCTGCGAGGCTCGGCCACGGAGGGGGTCCAGATGTCTCCGACGCGGCAGCCACAAGGAATGGAGTCGTATGCGATACGGAGGATATTCGATGTGGAGAAGGAGAGCTGTACAGCAGGTATTCAGTGAAAGGGATACAAGCTCTCGAGGTTTTTTGTCAGACCCGTATGCTGATTTTATCGACTGTCGATGATGGAATGCTTGGGCTGTAAGTCAACTGAATTGCGTCGACTCCTGACGCCGCCTCACCAACGGAGGAAAAAGTGGAAGAAAAATCAATCTCAATACCTCAGGCTGCGTTTTCATCTGATCGTGGTAGGCAGTCTACGCCTCGTCATTTTTCGCGCCTAATCCCTCCGTCGACCTGGAGCGGTTGTACGTTGAGCGAGATTGGGACGAGGTGCGTCTGGCGACGCTCGGGTAAAGAGGGGTGTGTCTCGGTCCCGAACATGACTGGTGAGGCCGAAAGGGGTCTAGCGTGGCTGTCGGGCAACTCGACAGGGGTCCCGCGCCCGAAACTCCAAATTCTTGGAATCAGCATCTTTGGATCGTAGGGTGAGTTTAATGGACAATCTTTGGTGATGACTGTCATGGCGGAATGACGGATCCATCACGCGGCCGCGTGCTCTGCGGACGGCCCGAGCCAGACGTCTACTGCGACTCTTGTACCCGAGCTTCTATGTCGGCCTGCGCATCATGAACGGATAAATAATCAGCATTCTTCGCGCCTCCATGTTCCCAAGATGAATCGTTACGGCTGCTCCCTTCTTCTGTATACATTCCAGTCTCCATATACTGCGAGTTGCGGCCTATTAATGAAGCCAGGTTGACTAGTCCGTACATCAGCGACAGTCCTACCCAGTGCTACACATCGCCATGTCGGTACCTGACGAAAAGGCCAGCGGCCGTGAGCAGGAAAAGTCCGCGACGCTGCCAACGTCGACCAAGGAAGCTGAACCTCGGGACTCGACGACTGAACCAGATGTCGAAAATCCTCGGGCCCGGCGCCCAGGGTACGACCCTGAGGCCGAAAAGAACTACCAGCCCAAGACTCTCAAATTCTGGCTCGTCGTCTTGTCCGTCTTCGTGTCCATGTTTCTCGTAGCTTTAGACCGTACCATTCTGGCGACTGCAGTCCCCCGCATCACCGACGACTTCAAGAGTCTGGGGGACATTGGGTGGTACGCCTCGGCGTATATGCTGACCACAGCGGCATGCCAGCTGCTCTTTGGGCGGATATACAAGTTCTATAGCACGCGGCGGACGTTCCTCGCCACCATTGTCATCTTCGAAGTCGGCTCTGCCTTGTGCGGTGCGGCACCCAACTCTCCGGCCTTCATTGTCGGCCGCGCCATCGCCGGCGTGGGCGCGGCGGGCATCTGGACGGGCTCCATGATGGCCATCATCCCCATGGTGCCTCTTCACAAACGGCCCATGTTCCAGGGCGTTTTCGGCATGGTATTCGGCATCTCCTCCGTCGTGGGACCTCTGATCGGCGGTGCCTTTACGGAGCGAGCAACTTGGCGATGGTGCTTTTACTTGAACCTGCCCGTCGGCGCGGTGGCTTTCGCAATGCTGTTCCTGTTCATGCACCCTGCCGATCCCAAGCATGAGCCGGCAACCGTCAAGCAGCAGCTTGTTCGTCTTGATCCTCTGGGGACATTCTTCTTTGTGCCCTCTGTGGTCTGTCTGCTGCTGGCGCTGCAGTGGGGTGGCTCGACGTATGCTTGGAATAGCTGGCGCATTATTTTGCTGTTTGTCATGTTTGGCCTGGCGGCACTTGCGTTTGCAGCGGTGCAGATCAGGATGCCGGAGACGGCAGCGTTGCCCGTGAGACTCGTCAAGCAGAGGACAGTGCTGGCTGGCACGTTTTATATGCTCTTCCTAGCTGGCGGGATGATGTTGGTGGTTTATTACCTGCCGCTATGGTGTGAGTTTTGTCTCCTACAAAGAGGTCCTCCATCCCGACGCCCGTCATGTCCTAACAAAATTTTTCCATAGTCCAAGCAACAAAGGGTGTTGATCCAGTGAAGTCGGGCATCTACACCATCCCCCTGGTTCTGAGCCTCGTCGTCGCATCCCTCGTTTCCGGTGCAGGAACGCAGAGAATCGGCTACTACACACCTTTCATGATAACGAGTCCCTGCATCGCTGCCGTTGGCGAAGGGCTTCTCACGACATTCGCCCCCGAGACCGGGTCGAACCACTGGATCGGTTTCCAGTTCCTCACTGGTTTCGGCGTCGGCCTGGGGATGCAATCTGTTGGTCTGGCAGTGCAAGCCACGCTCCCCCGGGAGGACGTTTCCACTGGCATTGCAATCACCTTTTTTGCTCAGCAGCTTGGCGGTGCCATCTTTGTGTCTGTCGGCCAGACTATTCTATCTACTTTGCTCGTGCAGCAGTTGAGCGGCCTGCCTGGGCTCGATCCCATGTCTATTGTCAAGACGGGCGCCACCGAGTTACGACACGTTGTGCCCTCGCAGTTCTTCGGCAGAGTCATTGACGCCTACAACTTTGCGATAACGCGCATCTTCTACTGCGCGCTGGCGCTGGCGCTGGCGCAGCTGGTTTCTGCCTTGTTCGTTGAGTGGCGGAGTATTAAGAAACCGAAGGATGGGAAAGATGCCAAGACTGTTGCTCAACAGGAGGGACTCGGCGAAGAAACTTGACGCCTGATGTGAGAGTCGGTGACTAGGGGCTTTTGGGGGGGATTCGATGTTTACTTTTAAAACAGAATAGCATTTGGGGTGCGGACATGGCACGGCTGGGTATCTGTGTTTTCTTGTATACTACAATAACGAGGTTCATCTCCAATCGGTCTGGCGAGTTTTAGAAGCAACACTGCGAGTATAGAAAAGAAGCGCCCCTCGGGTTTTAAATGAGGCCAAAATATATTCATCATTTACACACAGCTACCAGGTTTTTTTTTTTTTTTTAGTGGAAAATTGCCTCAAATCACCATGTGCTTGCGTCGGGCTGCCATAGGCGCATCCCACCCTATATGATCTTGGAGCAATTTGCAGTCTTTCACGCCTTAATATCAGTCAAGGATGCCGCGTCTTACACATGCGTCTAGTTGCGACCTATAATAGTTTCTCGTATACTTTTACAAGGAACTGATCGGTTCTAGACGCCCGAACTGACTGCTCATTGGCTGAAAGAAATACGCATCATTCATCCTAGCTACGCCATGGCGTTGGATAAGGCGCCATCGGCTGCGGTACGTCAGTATTGGGACTCGATCCTTTACACAACTGGTGGTTCAACAGAACAGTAAAATCTTTCCATTCAATCGCCTCATCAATCCGTCAACGACATCTGGGACTCATTGAAGAGTTGCACCGCGGTGGTGCTATAAACTGTTTCTACGGGATTAAAGTCTAGTTCGAATTATCTACAAACTCGACATGGGAGGAATGAATCATCGCTGTGCGCACGTCTTGCCACTGGTACTTCAGCTCGACTGCTTCGCCTCTTCCGTGGTTGCAGGTTGACAAACGAACGCGCAGTGGCAGTTCTGCGAGCCTTGTCGTGTCTCTTGCATCCGTTTCAGGTCACTCCAGTCTCCATCATCATCGTCATCGTGTCTGGTCGGCGTCTTGTCCACAATCTGCTATGGGCAAGGGCGTTTCGCCGTCAGGGGTCGCAGCATTCACTGGCATGCCTCGGCAGGCCGCTATGCACGCCGATTCGCCGCTCGACAACATTGAATCGTCACAATACAGTAAACCAGGTCTATAACGATATCCTTCGTGAGGCTTTTTTCATCGTTATAAGGCGACTATCGTTAAGGTGCGACTATTATGGGGCTTGTACCTTTAACCAAATTTACTAGGTAAATATATGTAATAATATTATAAGGTACATATACAGAGATCGTGTTTTTTTTTTGCCGCGTCACGAGCTTCCTGCCAATCGTGCTAAAGCCGCTGTTGAAGCTGTTGAAGCTGTTGAAGCTGTTGAAGCTGTTGAAGCTGTTGAAGCTGTTGAAGCTGTTGAAGCTGTTGAAGCTGTTGAAGCTGTTGAAGCTGTTGAAGCTGTTGAAGCTGTTGAAGCTGTTGAAGCTGTTGAAGCTGTTGAAGCTGTTGAAGCTGTTGAAGCTGTTGAAGCTGTTGAAGCTGTTGAAGCTGTTGAAGCTGTTGAAGCTGTTGAAGCTGTTGAAGCTGTTGAAGCTGTTGAAGCTGTTGAAGCTGTTGAAGCTGTTGAAGCTGTTGAAGCTGTTGAAGCTGTTGAAGCTGTTGAAGCTGTTGAAGCTGTTGAAGCTGTTGAAGCTGTTGAAGCTGTTGAAGCTGTTGAAGCTGTTGAAGCTGTTGAAGCTGTTGAAGCTGTTGAAGCTGTTGAAGCTGTTGAAGCTGTTGAAGCTGTTGAAGCTGTTGAAGCTGTTGAAGCTGTTGAAGCTGTTGAAGCTGTTGAAGCTGTTGAAGCTGTTGAAGCTGTTGAAGCTGTTGAAGCTGTTGAAGCTGTTGAAGCTGTTGAAGCTGTTGAAGCTGTTGAAGCTGTTGAAGCTGTTGAAGCTGTTGAAGCTGTTGAAGCTGTTGAAGCTGTTGAAGCTGTTGAAGCTGTTGAAGCTGTTGAAGCTGTTGAAGCTGTTGAAGCTGTTGAAGCTGTTGAAGCTGTTGAAGCTGTTGAAGCTGTTGAAGCTGTTGAAGCTGTTGAAGCTGTTGAAGCTGTTGAAGCTGTTGAAGCTGTTGAAGCTGTTGAAGCTGTTGAAGCTGTTGAAGCTATTGAAGCTGCTGTTGAAGCTTATCGCGGCCCTCGTCAACGCGCCCGTCAACACGCCCGTCAACGCGGGCAAACAAGGGCTCAATTTAATACGTATCGCGTGCCACAGCTAAAAGAGCCTCGCGGCGGTCATCCCAATCCTTGAGCTGGCGTTTACAGCTTTAATTATTGCTGAGCAGCTTTAATTTTCCCTGCCAATTGGTGCGTGCATGTGGTGTTGAAGGAAGAAAAACGCGTTGAAGGCTGCGAAATTCAGCCCTTACAGTGGAGGCCTAATAACGATAAAAACACTAAAATGTATGGTGACTAAGCCTGAGGCTAACGATATCGCAAGTAACCCGACTATTAACGATTTACTAGGGAAAAACCTTAAATGACCGTGAATTATCGTAAAAACCCGAATATCGCTAAGATACAGGATCGTTATAGACATGGTTTACTGTAACATTACGGCGGATTCAAGCTCCCACATGTGCAGCCAGATCCGCAATCCCCCTGACCAGCGGCGCAATCAAAGTGGTGTCGCTCGGGCGAGATCCGGCGCCCTCGTCCCATTGAGCCAGCCCCCCTGCGCGCGGGAGGAACACCGGCGACCCGCAAGGAATATCTTAACTTGTCTCTCATGGCATACTGAGGTGGTATTGTCATGTTGTATTAAACGAGCCGTGGCCCCGGCGGCACCACAAGGGCGCCGTCGTCAAAGTCCTCTTCGGCTCTTGGTCCGTTGGCATCAATGTCCCGTCCGTCGCTGCCCACAAAAACGCAAGATACCTGAGTCCTGTGAGGTTCCATTGTCATTGTCATTGTCGCTTCTAATCTAAAGGCGTGATGGTTGGTTGTTTCTGCAAGGCCCGACGACGAAGAGCACAGCTTCGGAGGACAGCGCCTTGATTGATGTCATGATGTTCGCCCTTGGAGATGCGACAAGCTGAGCGCCGCAATTAGGTCCCGAGTTTGGATTTTTTTTTTCTCATATGAACGAGACACGGCTGGGAATATTTGAGTGGCGGGCATCAGTAGCGGACTCTCTGCTCGAATCGTGGTCCAGTCTGACATAAAAGTTCACAAGCAACACCTGTCCACATGTCGTATCCGTGCAATGTGTGGCAGAAAAAGATGCTGAAAAGCCTCCCCTCTTTGAGCAAAGTACTAGTATCCCAGTCATGTACTTCGCAGGATTAGTCCTCGATGATTGGGCAGCGGCGTTGTGCGTCAGTCATGCCAACTTGGCCTATACAATTACCCGTCACGATTTCTCAAGACTACCCATGAGATATGAGGTGGAATATTCAGAACGCTTAGCTTGGAACTAGGAAATACATCAAACATTCAGCCATGCAGGCCTGTCCCCGCTGTGACTATCGTTCCGGCTCTTTTCCAAGTCACTCTTGCTCGAGCTACTTGTCGCTTCCTCCCGTCTGTCGACCAGCTCCAGCTCCATGGACTCTTTGCGATTCCACCTGGGACCCCGTGAATCGCGAGAGGAGGCGGCTCCAGTAATCACTACTTGATGATTGCCACTGACAAACGACTTTGATCGGCTAGGAGCGGTCCTCGCCGAGGCGCCATTCGCACCACCCGTAGGCTGCCGGCTCTCGGAACCATACTGCGTCATCCCCGACATGCTGTTGAAAATGCGTAGTTTGCGCATCAGCGGTTTCAGCGTAGCCAGGTTCGAGGCCGTCAGGGCAACGCCAATCTCTATCGTGCTCCAGATGCCCAGGTCGGTAAACGTGTACAGGTAGTCTGGGCTATTCAGAATGCCATCCGCGTACGGTATTCGCACAATGGTTGCAATGGAGGCTCTGCAAAGCGCGTTAGCAGGTGGCGGGCCATGACTGCACCAAGAAACGGGGAGACCAACGTTGACCCGAGGCAGAGCAGTGCAATAATGGAAACCTTGACTTGCGGCTCGATCTGCGACTTCCACACCAGAGAGGCGGGCAGAGCCGGCAGCACCCAGTCGGCGATAATATTGAGCACAGCAGCAATGTACGTCGTGACTGTTGCAAAGGCGGTCGCGTTGCATGTCCCGGTTGCCGGGACGGGGTTGTATCGCGTCCACTGATACTGCACCGGCTGGCAGGCGAAGAAGGCGAAGAAGAAGAACATGATGCCAAAGATGGTGACAGAAGCCAGGATGGTCCAGATTGTGATTTGTCGCCAGCGCCTGTGCGGACAGATGCGCAGAAGAAACAAGCCCAGGATCCATTTCGTCAACAGCGATATCACGATGTAAAACAGCGACGCGAGCCATCTGTACAGAATCGCCGTCGGCCGATCCTCCGGCGGCACATCGACATTGTGTTTGCCCAGTCCATACGCAACTCCGAGAATGCCCACCGTCGTGTACGCCGTGTAAAGCAACTGCGAGGCCTGATTAATGCGTGGTGTTCCCCCCCTTCCTCCCCCTTTCCACCAAGATTTGTTTTGCCTTTTCTTACCAATGCAACGACCGTCAGGTAGTCTTCGGCGAAAAATCGTTTGATAATAACGCCGTGGGTGTAGAACCGCAGGGCACCGCTTATTATGGAGGTGACGAAGAGGGCCACAATGACTCCCATCATCTGAGGGCCTCGGTCGTCGGCCATGGCGGGCGTGGCGATGGTGAGGATTCCAGATGAACGTTTCCGGCAATTGTCACTCAGCCCCCCCCGAGGATGAGAAACTAGACATGATTCTGGTAAGAAGGTAAGGAAAAAGAAAGAAAAACTAGTCCGTCGCAGGATTCAAAATCAGGGAGGGCGGGATAACAGCGTATAGTATTGAATTGGCTTCCATGCATCCTTCTCTTGGCGCATACACTCCACTTGTCCCGACCGAGTCCCCTTCACTTTAAAATAAAGCGCCCCATTATGAAGAGCGGCAGATGACGGGTTTCCCACATGGCTCAAACTGGATACCCATGGGAGCGGAACGCGACGGCTGCGGCGGCAGTTTATCACAGGATGCTTGCCCGCGCAAACCAGGAAGCAAACCGAGTCCCCTCACCACCTTTTGACAAGGACAATTCCCGGCGGGGCACATGGGACGCAAAGTGCTTGATCAAGGAACAGAACCGGGACATTTCCAACTTGTGAAAAGGACCGACTAATCTATTCTGTCCGAGGCTGAAGGCAGTGGGTCGCATCGAAGGTCCTTCGAAGGCGAGCAAAGTCCAAGGGGAACCGTCACAGGAACACCCGTTCAACCGCTCAAGCCTTGGTGGTTGACAGCGAGTCACTAACCTTGTTCCAGGGTTCCAGAACCCGTGTTGAAGATCCCTTGGTTCCAGAATCCAGACTATGGATCTGCCTCCACATCCACGCGAGCTCCTGATTCAGTCGTTTACCGAGGTTTCCACACATGTCAAACCAATACGTCTAGTCGAGGTGGCGACCTTTCTACTTAATAAGAACCACACATGCCCAAAAGATGAAAAAAGTCGACTCTGCCATGCCACTTGGTTTGTCTTGCGAAGCCTGACATCGCGTGCACTTGCGCCGGAGCCGTGGCAAAGCTTGCCCCGTGTATCACGAGTCGCAAGAGCTGCCGCCGAATTTGAGCCCAGGCATGGCTGGACGACGGTGCCTTCATATTCTCAACGGCTGCAGAGCGCCCATTCGATCCCAGGAACGTGGAAAGAACTGTGGAGACTGCAAGTTGTATGCTGGGATTCGGTTGACGACGGAGATGGTCTTGTTTCAGCTGAACCAGGCCGGATCCAGCTTCAAGCGGCATCAGTCGTCACAATATGGATAAACGCCACCGCAGCCAAGGCCATGTGGCTTCCTACTTTTTACCGAAGGGGAGTTTGATGCAGCAAAAGGGCGTGGTGAACCATGATGAACCGCATTTCCGTTGGCGCAAGTCTAGCTGTGTGGATCATGATTGAGTGCCATGGGTGCGAATTCTGGCCGAATCAAACCGGCAATATCAAAAGGGCCCGTTGCTTCCGCGGATAACAGAAAGGGTTTCCCCTAGGACTCACGCGCGGAGCTAATAAGACCGGGCTGGTGCGAGTTTCTTAAGCTTCTGTTGTGTTTCCAATCTATAGCTCCCGACAAGTCTAGGAAGTACGCACATGGATAATGGATAATGGGACGAGGTTGGGAGCAGTTCCTCAAGGTTCTGTCACGTTTCCTACCTGTAGTCCAACAAACAAGACCAATACCACTCCCGGGCTTCATGGTAGTATCTCCAAGTCCTGCGGTTGTTCGTTCTATATGGATCCGCATCAAGCAGAGCAAAGGCGGGATCCGAGGCGCTCTGCCGTTGGGCCAGCACACCGAGTTGTCGTCGAGCCCATCGTTTACGGGAGGGTTCCTGTCGTGCTCCCACGACGCAATGGTGAAGATTGGCCTGGTGGCCAAGGTCAACGACACGCAGTACTGTGTGGCGCCGTTTTCGTATCAGCTGGCGCGGCTTCTGTTGTCGCTGAGCGAGGACGCATTGAGCGAGCATCGATTTGGCGTCGAGCTTACCCGACGGCTCTGCCGGGCGTATGCCTTTCCACATGGAGCCAGCTCCGCGGTTTCCGGGGCCTAGGAGGAAGCGCACCAGCTGAGCATCGCCTCGTGTGCCTCTGTCGACAAGGTCGGGATCGCTTCAGGTACGCGGGCGGGTATTCGTCCATGTCAAACAGAGCTGATAAGCTAGTTTAAGACGATGGGTGCTCTTGCCGAGACAAGATGGTGGGGTGCTGGGTCTCCTGCCAGCCAGCTCCACTGTCAATGTCTGGCCGACCAGGAGCTTGTGGCGTAACCAGGCGCGCGCTTGGCCCCTCTTCTCCATTTGGTGGCGGAAGTGTGGCTGCCGCATCGGGCCGTGCTATTCGTGCTACCAACCCTAACTATTCGTGCTAATGCCCCACCTTGATTTTGGGCCTACACCCTGACCTACCACGCCCCGCCATATAATTTCACATACATTACCCTGGCAATAAGGGAGTTATCACGAAATACGATTCAAGACGCAACGACAATAAAGACTCATAATACGGTCGCGGGCGCGGTCAGGAAACGCTGTAAATCGCACACAAACTCGATCAACAGGTAGACAAGCCACGGAGCAAGCAGCAGTATCAGGGTCGCCGGAAATTGAGGAAATTATCCCTCAAACACAGCTGGAAGAGCCGCAGCTTCGATGGATAACCCCTTGGGAGCCCGGGCAGCGACAACG